CATATTTTGTTTGAATTAAACTTAAAATGTCTTTGATATACAGTCAAACGTATTTAAGTTTACTTTAAACATATTTTTTGGTCGATAGAATAGCATATTTTTTAAGTTGAATTCAAACATATTATAATTTTGATTTGAAATATGCAGTTTTTAAGCATATTTTATGTTTAATTCAAATATAATTTTTCTTAAATCAAACAGAACATTCAAACAAATAATATGTTTAAATTAATATGGTAGATATTTTCAATATATTAAATTTAAACATACAAACTGTGTTGAATCAAACAAAATCATTTTAACTGATGTTTATGTTTGAAACAAATAATTCTTTTTCTCAGTGTAATTGAGAAGCAAAAAGTGAGTCATTAATTCAAATTAGTAAACTTTTTTAATAATTCAGATTTAGAGAGTACGATTAATACAACACAGAAAAAACCTCAACTCAAAATGAGTCAGGTTGATGGCGCCACTTTCTATGTCGTTTAGCATTAACTCATTTTTAACTGCAGCAAAAATGAGACATATAATTGCATATAATATTGAGTGGCTTTTATATATCACCATGTAAAATGGGAAAATAAAACAATAGGTTTAGTATAAAACGTAAATGCTTTTCACACCCCACTCTACTCTAGATTCTATACAGAATAAATCTGCTTTTATGTGGAAGTTAATTCAATAAATTACATCAAATAAAATTTCTATTTCAGGGTTTTCTTTCAACATTTCACTCACTCTAATTTCTCTCTTTAAAAAATTATCATAATTTATTTAATGCTTGCTGTAGAGATGAATTCATCTATAAGAACTGAATAAATAATTAGCAGTGAGATTAATATATTTTAATTTAATTCAAATACATTATATTTTGTTCGAAAAAAATATCTCCATTATATAGGCTTTTATTATAAATGGAAAAGAAATTTTTTTAGCAAGTGACCAAAGGGCATTAACATTAAGACATCAGTTATCATAAGCTGTTCATTTCCCACAATAAAGCTAAAAAAAGGCCATTCTTAGAGTTTAAAAAAAACTGGACTTAAATGTATTTTTCAACGGGAATGTGCGCACCCTAAAATTAAAGCTCCATTTAAAACGCGCCCCAATTGTCATATAGATTTGCCACGGTTGCGGTTTGAATTAAAACAAGTGTACCTCTGATTCAAGTTTCAATATGTTATACAGAATTCACGCTTTACATTTTTTAGGCGTGATTTTAAACACTGACAGCTGTCAACATAACTTGACAGACCGGAACCACAAAATGTATATGCTCATTTGTACAATATTTCTAGGATTTACAAACAGGATTTTGCTTTTACATTTACTTTAAATTTAAATCTTTATATCACTGTAAACTTTCATTTTTTTGAACAGAAGATATTTTTTCAATAAATTTATTGTCTTTAATGAACATATATTGTATAAATGTAATATAGTTAAGTATATTATATATTTATATAAAATTCAATAAGGTGACATAAATTTATTATTTTTTAAAATCGATATGACGGGTGTGTAATACCAATTTAGAAGCTGCGTCAACGATCTATCACTCCTTCAAAATTTACAGCATCACGCAGTATTGTCGAATATTACAGTTTTTGATGGATGACTTTCCAATCGCGATGTCCCATTGTAAAGACTCAGAGATGAGAAATCGCGGTCTCCTGTGTCTCCTGAGCTTTGCTTTCTTGTTCTTTGTAATTTTAATGTAATCACGTGCCATTGTCGCAAAACATGCGTTTATTTCCGACATCAGCGAAAAGTCAATGATATAAGTACACAGTTGATTCAAATAGCACCAAAAAAAATATTTGTTCAATTCAAATAAATTGAATCCGTTTTATTATTTTTTGCAAATAAAAATTATATTAATTTAAATTTTAAACAAAAAAATCTTTGAGTAAAAAAATTTGCATTTTTATTTAAAAAAAGATTGTTCAATCAAAAAAATGTCTTTAAATCAAAGAATTTTTTAATCATACATGAGGATTTCACGTAAAGTGATCAATTGGAAAAAATGGCTTTATCATTGTAATTATTTTTTTTCTCTTAAATATCAAAATAAAAAATGTTTATCAATATCAGTTTTCGATTGGTAATATGCATTTTTGAAAAAAAATTGTTGATAAAAAAAAATAAATTTAACTTTTTCGGGGTGAAAGGTATATATGATTTTTTTAATCGAAAGCTGAGGTTTTCTTCTACAAAAATATATAGTTCAAAAAATGGGACAAGAATGTTTAAAAATTGAAAAATAGTAAAAAATTATTAAAAATGATTAAAAAAAGCAAAAAAAGTTAATTATCAATATTTCAACATTCTTGTCCCATTTTTTCAACTATATATTTTTGGAGAAAAAACCTCGCAGCTATCGATTAAAAAAAATCGTACTTTTCACACCAAAAAAGTCAAATACGGCGTGTTCATAAAAAATAGCTATTATTACTATTATATTTAATGAAACTGTTGCAAAATGATTTTAAAAAATTATTTTAATCTTTTTTGATACAATTACTAATAAAAATGAACATTTAAACAATTATTAATTTAATTATTTGAGGTAAAACTTTTTCCCTCGCCGTAATTAAAACATTTTTATGATTTACATTGGCTTCAATTACGGTGCTTCAAAATACACGTCATTTTGGTCACCGTAATTGATACACCGAAACTAATACAAACGCGCCGTAATAGAAAATTACGGTAGTAGTTTTAATTTCTCATATTTGTTTAAATAATCGATTTTTATAAAGTTAAATTTTTTTTAATATCTAAATAACATAAGCTTTTAGTTTAATAAGTCTTAAATTGACTTTATACAATAGAAATGTTGAATTTTCTATTTCAAAGATGTTTTGACTCGAATCGCGCCGTAATTAGTGCATTTACCTTATATTACTAATTGAAAGAGCATCAAAAAATCTTTCGAAACTCATATTGATAAAAAATTTTTATTTTGATATTTAAAAAGAAAATATTATTAAAACATGAGATGTACCGTGAAACCCCAAAACTTTCACCCTTTCCCCTTCTGAAAATATTGGACTAAATGAAAAAATATTTTTATCAAAAATAATTAACATCTATGAGTAGGTACTACATATACCCGGAGTTTAAGCGTAATTGGAGAAAAAAAATTTTGTACTTTTATCACTTCAGCTGGGATCCCCCACATAATATATGTCCGTCCGCATGAAAAGGGGACACTGTAGTTTCTTTTATAAGAGTTATATTCGCATTAATGTTCACGCAAAAATAATCCTTATTGAAATCGACAAAGTTGGCCCTTTTCATGCGGTCGGCTACACATAAGTCAATTACTTGATCGTGTACAAAACCGATTTGCTGCTCGTTGTGTAGATATTGATATTGTATATAGGCTTATGTAGTCAAAGAGCGTAGCCCGATTATGGTTTCAAATAAATGAATACACAAATTATTCAATTCAAAGAAATTGTACAGTAATTAAGTATATATTCACAACCTCATTTCATTTAAATTATTGCTCTTGTTGCTAAAAAAATATTTTGTAGTAAAAATGGTTGAAATTTATTTCACAATTTCTGAACAGTACCTATTTGGTAAATACTGTTGCCCTACATTAGAGTAACAAATCCCTAAAATATTAGCTCATTTAAAGAAAATTTTTAGAAAGTAGTGGGGGTGGAAGTTTTAACGTTTTATGTGGATTTTTTAAAGAATTTTTTATGTACTTTTCAATGTCATAAAAAATTTTATCGAAAAAAAATGTTTAACTCCTTTTTTCAAAATATAACCCTTATTTTTCAGTTTTGACCCTCTTGGAAAATTTTTTTTTCTTTTTTTGTATTTTTATTAGAAATATGAGATTTTTTTCAACAAAAATATATAAAAGTAAAACTGGGAAAACAAAAAGTTTTCTAGCCTATAAAACCTTTTTAAAGCACTACACCATCCAGCTGTGGAGTATAAATCATTATTGGCCCTATTATTGTTTTGAATATGAGATTTTTGTTACAATTGAATTTTTTGACATGAGGATAAATTATTTTTTGAATTATCTACGTTTTTCTCTGTGTGGGCTCCATGATTTAAACATTTTTATGTAAGATAGTTTTTTTGAGAAAATTAATACTTACGTACGTTTTACCACGAAACTGAAGTACGCAACGTTTATGATAAACGATTTTTAAAGAAATAGTTTTTTAAAATGAAAAATTTTATAATTTTTTGCCTAAAAAATATTTTTTTATAATTTGTTGATTAATGAAAACTACAAGAAATATTTTTTAGGCAAAAAATTATAGAATTTTTCATTTTAAAAAATGATTTCTATAAAAATCGTTTATCATAAACGTTGCGTACTTCAGCTTCATTTTTACCAGGATTTAATTTTATTTTCCAATTTTGATATTTTTCTAACATAGATGATTTTGAATTTGCTTTCCTGCTACTATGGTGTTAGAAGAGTGATAGTAAAATGAGTAAAATGCAGTATCATCTGCAAAGAGAGATGTTTTTGTTCTTGGAAATGTCATTTAAATGAATTAAAGAGCTTGAGCCCTATGAAGCCGATCTAGTAATACCATAACGGTAGCTTCGTCTAAATTAAAATTTACACTAATATGTTATGTTTTTTCCTTAGCTGAATCGTTTATCGATTATTCTTTTCGTTCGTTATCATTTATTTTTTTTAAATATTCCGTTTTCCATAAGGAACCGGTGTGTACCAATTTAATATGGCAGTTATATTAGTAATATTACAAAGTACAAATACAATCACTAGTCATAACTATACGCAATTCACTTTACAATTTACTTTCTATAGTCTCATATACTTTTACAAAGTCAAAGAGTTTTTGTAACTGTAAAATTAATTAAATACCAATCCAATAGGTAAATACATACCGGGAAGCTAGCCAAAATCGAGTATCGACAATAATTATGTGTTCTAGTTTCAAAATGACTCACTAGTTGTCAGCAGCTCTTGGCCCTGTTTTACTTGCCTTTTATCATATGTTGATACAAAGTTCCCACTTGTCATTTTCTCCAGTTTATATTTTCTAACCTCAATGTACCACGTGTATTTCGTGATTTTGTTAATGAATGTGAACAGTTATTAATAATGATAAAGTATAATTATTTATCTATATAATAAGGTTCGTATATGAAATTATTGTCTACATATAAATACAAATAAGATGTTTGATGTCAATTTCATGTAATTATAAAACTTAATTAAACAGAATTAATTGTAGTGAACAAAACACGTTTTCTATTGACAATTTCTTAACTAGCTAACTATTCATGTTTCAATTTATAATATAAAATATTTCTATTGTTATAAATATAATATTTTCGCAAGTTACTTACTAAGTATATAAATAAGTTTTTTATTTTTTAACAGTATTAATTGTACTCTGATTACATTTGGTCATCTATATCTTAATTGTAAATATATTTTCTTTTTGTACATTATTATTCAATATTTTTATTAGATACTGACTTTATCTCTCAGTTTTAAGAATCAAGTTAAATTTTTAAAAGTAATGAACAAATAATATGGTATATAATTATACAAAATCATAATTAACATTAAAATAATGTAGGTATTTTAAAACTTAATTATTATTTAAAGTTTCATCGTTTAAGAAATTAATTCGGGACAATAAGAGCAACAATTAGGTACAAATCGAATATTTACAGAGCAATAATTTTTATTACTTACATAAAAAATCAAATTAAATCTATTGAAACAGATTTCCCATATATCAGAAATTAATATTATTTCTATTTTTGTTTGATTATCAACATGTACAGATCCTGAAGCAATTCGTTTTTAATTATTTAATTTGAAAATTTAAGGACAAAAATTTTAATTCCTTAAAAAAGACTTAAAAAAATCGCCATTAATTATAAAAATTCCCGGTGTAATGCTTATATATTTCATATAGATTACTTAATTTATTTTTCGGTGTAAAATATTTTTTCTAAAAAAAAGTAACCATCAAAAAATATAAATTTGCAAATTTATGCAAAAAAATTCAATTTTTTGAAAAATGAAAATTTACGATTAATTTTACAAATTTCTATTAAAATATGTACTTTATATACATCAATAGATTCCTTTTTCAAGGTAGAATATTTTCCACAAAGAAATATTATTAAAAAATTACAATTTTCGAAGTTATAAAAAAAGAATTGAAAATTAAAATTTTTTCAAAAAATAAAAATCGCAATAGGTATGCTTTATGTGGTCAATCGATTCGTTTTAATTTTTTATTTATTGAGATGCATGTTAAATAAGAACAAATTTTTATGAAAAAAACTATATTTTTTAAGGAAAAAATGTGTTAAAAACTTTTTTTTCAATATTAAAATCCCTGCATACAATGTTTGATATTAATGAGTATGATATCTACCAAATTTTATAAAAATCGGTCAAAGCGTTCTCGAAATATCCAGGCGTTTTTCCAAGCAATATATGACAAATAGATAAATTTGTAATGAAATAAATGTTTGCAGATAATCGAAATTATTGTTAAAAATGCCTGGAGATCAAGAAGACTTGGGGACAAAACACAAAACTCATCGAGATCGAAATGCAGGACGCAAAGCGGAAAAGAAAAAGGCCAAAAAGACTCATATTCAAGAGTTAACTGATAAACAGAGGAATCCAAAAGCTTTTACCTTCAATTCGGCGATTAAAGCTGAAAGAAGATTCAGACGTAAACAAGACATAGAAACAAAAAAACAACATATCCCTTTAGTTGATCGCACTCCTCTAGAACCGCCGCCAATTTTAGTGGCAATCGTAGGACCTCCTAAAGTTGGAAAATCTCTGGTTATTCAATGTCTCATTAAGAGTTTCACGAGACATCCCCTCACAAACATCACTGGTCCAGTTACTGTGGTTTCTGGTAAAAAGCGTAGAATTACTTTTATGGAATGCAACAATGATATAAACAGTATGATTGATATAGCGAAAATTGCTGACTTGGTCCTGTTACTTGTCGATGCTTCATTTGGATTTGAAATGGAAGTTTTTGAATTCCTAAATATCTGTCAAATTCATGGAATGCCCAGAATTATGGGAGTTCTTACGCATTTAGATATGATAAAAAATTCGACGCAATTGAAAAAGACGAAGAAATCATTGAAGCAAAGATTTTGGACTGAAGTTTATGCTGGAGCCAAATTGTTCTACCTCTCTGGAATATTGCACAATGAATATTTACGAAACGAGGTGAAAAATTTGGCAAGATTCATTTCTGTTATGAAGTTCAGACCACTTACATGGAGGACAACGCATTCGTATTTACTTGCTGATAGAATTGAAGATTTGACGAGTCCAGAGGAAATTAGACGAAATTCAAAAGTCGATAGAACTATCAGTTTATATGGGTATGGAAAAAGTTTTTCATTTTCATAAATACGTATTAATTTCTGTTAATTTCTCAAATGCATTAGCTTTAAAAATTTTAATTTTAATGAAACATTTTTTTACTTCTTTGCAGTTAAAATAAGTACTTACTCAAAATTATTGGGCCCAAAAAATGTTTGTTCTAACTGACCAATTTTAAAACAACAAAAAGATTTATTCGTCATGAAATGGAGTAAAAAAATTTTTTGCCGAAACTTTGTTCTATTACTCACAGATTTCTGAGCATAAAACCGTTGACAAGCGTTGGCCTACTTCCAAAAAATTCTCATACATTCTACAAGTTATTTCAAATGTCCATACAATACATTTTTGACAAATATTTTATAAAATCTCGTGTATTTACCTTGGTATTTCAATTTTGAAGTTGAGTTTTAAGATAAAAGGGTATTTTTAAAGTTTACAAAATTTATATTTATTTGATTATTGTATAAAATAGAAGTCCAAAATAATTTAAACAAAATTAATTTTTAAACGAACATGTGTAATATAAAAATTCAACATTTCATTATATTTTTCTAAGAAATGTGTACAGTTTTAAAAGTAATATTCCTTAATATTAAGTTCTTTCAATTAAATTTTATACTTCATAAATATAAGTAAATTAGACTATTGTGAAGAAAATACTTTTTAAAAAATGTCTTTTGTTTTAATTAATTTTTTCAACAGACAAAGTAACCTTTTATTAAAAGCCGTAACTTCTTATTAAGAAGGTCGAGATAAATACAGAAAATTTAATGAAATAATCAGTAAATATAATTTAATTAATTAAAAGTATCGATAATTTTTCCTTCTAGGTTATTAAACTATTAATTTATTTTTCATTGAAAATCATACATGATTCGTGTACATTATTTTTTTTCTTCTTGTATGATAATAATTATTAAATAATTTTTTCTTAATAAAATCCAGTTTTTTTCTCAACAGTTTTTGACTAAAAAATGAGTGAGTAAAACAAAACAATTTTTAGATTTGCCATTGAACATAAAGAATCTTGTTACCTGAAAATAATTGTTTTAATTTAACACATTCCAATGCTCCCCGAGTACAATGCTTCAATCATTTGTCGCCTAGATATCGTTAAAAAATATAAATCACTTCCATTTATTTTTGTTTTATTGTACCACTATTCGAGAACACAAAAGTAAAATATTAGCTAAAAATATTAAAAATTAGAAGAACTACAGTTTTTTACAAAATATAATTTTTTTCGTTTTTCTGAAAAATTGTTATTTTTTAACATTTTTTTTCTATAATAAAATATTTATAATGAAACTTTTCAAGTATGAAAACTTATTCTACAATGTTTAAAGAATATTTGAAAAAAAATTTTTTGTCGATCCAATGAGAAATTTTTAAATGATAGAGTTTTGAAAAATGAACAGGGTCACAGTAACCCTCAGTGTGCTTCGTGTTCAAAAAAAGAGGTGTGTGCTTTAACAAAAAAATTTGTTGGTCTAATAATTTGAGATACTTATTTTGATCACACAAAAATTGAAACAAAAATTGTTTTATTAACTTTAGCCAATCCGTTTGAGAAATTCTGACTTACATAACATTTCAATTTTTCTTAATTACAAAATTTTTAAACAAAAATAATATAAATTTTTTGTATGCTTTATTAAAAATTAAATTAATTATAAAAAACAGTTTTTTAAAAAACTTATTTCTTACTGTAAAAAATGAATATACTTTTTCAATGAAATAAAATCATTACTTGATTGGTATTTTTTAACTATTTGATGAGTAATTGCGTCAGAAATCTTATCTTGAAAATTAAAATATTTACATTATAAATCATCTTTTCCTTTAAAAATTAATAAATTTTTTTTAAATAAAATATTGTAAGTTGAAATATTAATGAGAAATTAGTTATTCGTGTTTTATGATTCTTTGATTCATTTTTTCTCATGAAAATTGAATGCATTTTAAATGGAATTTTATATTTTTTACAGATACGTACGTGGAGTGCCAATGAAAAAAGATTCCTCAGTTCACATACCAGGATGTGGAGATTTACAAATTAAAGATATCTGTTTTCTACCAGATCCTTGTCCTCTTCCTGAACAATTGAAGAAGAGATCTCTCGTCGAGAAAGAACGTCTTGTTTACGCGCCCTTTTCAGGAGTGGGTGGAATTGTCTACGATAAAGATGCAGTTTATATTGATTTAGGTGGTAGTCACTACCACAAAGATGACACTGGTTTACTCAGTGTCCTTCAGAATCCCGAAGAGATGCTTGATGAAAAACTAGAGAAGAGTGAGCTGCAACTCTTCAGTAATAGTGCGCCAATTGTATCGAAAGACGTTGATGAAAACATCTTTGGTATTACCAGTGAAACTGTTTTAAAAGACGGTAGAGTAAGGCGAAAAGTAATCTTTAAGGACAAACAAGAAGTCAATGACGACAAAGAAGAGTTGAACGATATTGAGTCTGAAGAAGAGGAACAAAACGATGATAAAGAAATCGATCAAGATGAAAGTGAAAGTGAATATGAGTCTGATATAGAAGAAAATGATTCAAATGATAAGAAAGAATCACTTAAATCTTGTAATTTAAAGAGGAAGAAAAGTGATGAATCTAGTGATAATAGTTCCGATGATGATTTAGAAGAACGTGAACCACAAGTACATGTTAAAATCAAGAAAAAGAAGAATGAAGAACTACCAACAAGAAATACAAATTCTTATGTGAAAGACAGAATTGCAGAAGCACTGTCCCTGATAAATGCAAAATCACCAACATCAAAAAATGTTAGTGATGAAGAAGAAAGCTTTGATGAATTAAGTGAAAATGAACGAGAAAATATGAGTTTAGATGAGTCTGATAAAGATTCAATTTACGAGGATGAAGAAATTGATGAAATTGAAAAAGAGGAAGAAAATGAAATGGGAATTGATGATGATGCATTACGATGGAGGAGAAATTTAGCAGAAAAAGCTCGAGATGCATTTCTTAATCGTAGACGAGAAAATATAAATATTGAAAAAATTGTTTACAGCGTTTTTGAGAAAAGTAACTTACAAGAAGAGGAGAATAAAGATAAACAGCCAGATGATTCTGAAGAAGGTGTAGTAGGCGGAATCTTTCATTTGGTAAAGAAACAACAGCAGCAAAAACTAGAGGAACGTGAAGTAAAAAATCAAGAAGATCGTTCTTTTTTCTCGACAGAATCTACTTTAGATTGGTTAGTTATGGAAAATAAGGCTCTTTTAGTTAATCGTTTTGTAACTGGAAAATGGAAGGAATCAGAAGACGCAGAGGAACTTTTGAAACTCAACGATTTAAACGATCAAGATCTCTATGGAGATTTTGAAGATTTAGAAACTGGGGAAAAATTCGAAGCGAAAACTGCAGATACTGGTGAGTTTTGATACAAATAAAATTATAACCTAAGCAAATTTTATATGACGAGTTGAGATTAATTATTTTCAAATTTCATAGTAAAGATTTTTAATTAAATAAAACAATTATTGGCCTGCACTTACAATTCGTCACTGCATGTTTTTCTAGCAAAATTTCGGACAGTACTAATAGTCGGTCACTTTTATATTTATCTAATAACTCATTATAAAATGTAATGGGCGAATTTGTGAGGTTTTTATTTGATACCAATGAAATTTTTTTTAGAAACAGCTCCAAAGGAGGTAGACGACGAGGAAAAGGAGAAAATGAATAAGTTACTTGAGAAAAAATTAAAACTCAAAAAACAATTTGAAGCTGAATACGATGAAAATGACAAATCTTATTACGATGATTTGAAAAAGGAAGCAGAGAAGCAGTCTCAATTGAATAAATCAGAATTCGAAGGTTTAGACGACGAAGTAAGAGTACAACTCGAAGGTTATCGACCTGGGATGTATGTTCGAGTGGAATTTGACTCGGTGCCTTATGAACTAATAGAACATTTAGATCCTTCTTACCCTCTGATTGTGGGAGGCTTACTTCCTGGTGAACAGAACGTTGGTTACGTGCAAGTGAGAATGAAGAAGCACCGATGGTATCCAAAGATCTTGAAGAGCAGAAATCCTCTCATCATATCCGTAGGATGGAGAAGATTTCAAACCATTCCCATCTACTCGAAATTGGAAGACAATCTTCGAAACAGAATGTTGAAATACACTCCCGAGCATGTGGCTTGCATGAGTCATTTTTGGGGACCAATAACACCCCAAAGCACTGGTGTATTGGCCGTGCAAGACGTTTCCACAAGGGAATCGGGATTTCGAATAGCCGCAACTGGCACCGTCGTGGAGACCAATAAAACTACAACAGTCGTCAAGAAACTCAAACTCACTGGCGTTCCACTCAAGATTTATAAGAAAACGGCTTTTATCAAAGACATGTTCAATTCTGCTTTGGAAGTCGCGAAATTCGAAGGAGTTCGAATAAAAACGGTTTCAGGGATTCGAGGTCAAATTAAGAAAGCGGTTTCTAAACCTGACGGTTGTTTTCGCGGGACCTTTGAGGATAAAATTCAATTAAGTGATATTGTATTTTGTCGCACTTGGTATAAAATAGATATACCAAAGTTCTACAATCCCGTAACTTCACTGCTACTGCCGCTTAGCGAGAAAAATCAATGGCGAGGAATGAAAACTGTTGGTCAATTGAAGCGTGAAAATAATATTAAAGCACAACCAAATGTAGATTCAATGTATCAACCAATTGAGAGGCCAGTTAAATTTTTCAAGCCTCTATTTATTCCGAAGAATTTACAAAAGGAGCTTCCTTATAGAGATAAACCGAAGATGGCTCCAGTGCTGAAAAAGAGAAAGGCGAAAGTGGAAGATAAACGTGTGGCTGTTGTTCTTGAGCCTAAGGAAGAAAATATTGCAAAATTGATGAAAATGATTAAGACGACGTATGAACACAAAAAAGAAAAACAACAGGAAGCGACTCACAAAAGAATTGCCGCCCATAAGAAGAAGGTCGAGGCAGAGGAAATGAAGAGATTGAAAAGGCATAAAGAGCTTAAAAAGCAAGTTTTCCGAACATTAAGTAAAATGGAAGCTAAAAATAAGAAATGATAAAACTTATTGTAAAGTAAATACAAATTTTGCTTTTGTATTGTAAATAAAGATTTTTTAAATTTAATTTAAACAACTTTAGAAATTCGTATTTTATCCTTATTAGAAATTTAAGATGTCCTAAAACGATGTCCCATTACAACTATTTTTGAAAAATTGCTTCAAAGTAAATAGGATATTTTTCACAGTAAACAAGGCTAAATTCTGATAAATATTTTATTCGAAACTCTTACATAAGTTACAATATAATAATAAAATATACCTATTAGTTCTTATAAAATAATAACAATGTTATGCTTGATTCTTATAATATTGCTTGTGAACCACGCCACGATGTGAGAGTATGATGGCTCGTTGAGTATGTGTCACCGCTCTATATGAAAAAAAAAATTAATTAATTTAATAATAATTTTTTAGAGTATGTAATATTATATTTAACCGACGGTGTTCCAAAGTGCCAACTGTTGTCACAAACACGACAACAGGAAAAATGCGTAAATATTAGAAAAATGTCCAGCAGAGCTTATTTCATGAACACATACATTATTTTCTCATATTTCACTTCATGTTGCCATGTATGTGAAATTGTGAATGAATTTTTAAGAATTTTATAATATTCCAATACGAAATAAAAAAAAGTTATGTTATGTAACAGTTGGAAAATATTTCAGTTGTTACTCAATAAACAATCACTTAAACTTTTGTGTTAGTTTCAAAACTAGCTTTAAAAATTAAATTTAAAAATTGTACTTTTCTTTTCAAAAACTTAAACTGAAAAAGATTTAAAAAATTTATTATTTCTAAAACTAGCTTCAGATCCAGCAAGTAATTGAGTTATTTAGTAATAACTTAAAAATTTGAAAATTAATAAAATTATTTTCATTTACAATCGATTAATTTTATCGTGATATAGGGTAACTGACCTGGTAGTTGGCACCTTAATAAATTAACATAAAAATTATCACTTTTGAATAAAAATGTGCTAAAACGTTATTAACAAATAATTATTTATATGACGCAATATTCCAGTGGTAGGACACGCCAATCATTGGCACCCCACTTATTAACAGCTCTAAATTTTCTAAATTAATTAGAGAATTCAACTAGAAATTATCTAGGCATATCAGTATGATATATCTTGAAATAAGGATATTAGAGTGAATAATATTAACCTCACTTTTTCAGTTGATGCTATAAATTCAAAATAAGCTAAATATTGAGAATCTTTTGTAATTTAAGGAAAACAATGATAGGTGCCAACTAATGGGCCACTTTGCCTAATTTTTTGAATTTAAACTCTATTTAAAAATACTCAAGATAGTTAAAGTTACGGCAGGCAGTATATGAATTACTTTGGTAAAAAATTAATAACGATAACGGTCGATTGTTATACCTGTGTTAGCATTAATAATTCATCCTGTGTGTCGACAATTTTAACAGGGAATGGTGAACCAGGTACAAGGACACCGGCCCATCTGACTTCAACCCTATAATCTCCAGGTTCTGTGGGATCATATCGACACAAAATAATTCGATCCTTCTGGGTTTCCCTTTGCATCTCTACTCTAAATGCTCCTTTCGGTCCTCGAACTCTTACAGTTAATTGGCCCGCTCCTGCTCCTCTCGTATCGCAAATAAATCGGGACTGGAATGTCGCTAAAACACCATGTTCTATTCCTGGCCCATAAACTCGAACCTGTTTCAACGGAAATCAAACAATTTTTTTGCATTTTCCTTTTTATTATGTTGATTTAATCCTGTTCATACTGGATAAACCAGATATGTTTCTTTTATAATCACTGATTGATAAATATTATGTCGATTCCGGAATTAGTATTACTCAATACTAAAGAATGATGATTTTAAAAAAATACGAAAAATTAATAAATCGATTTCTAAAAAGTCATTAACTCTCGTGAAATATTGTATTTGAATAAAATCTTACTTTGGATGCATCGGGTGCACCTGAAACTCTTAAAGTAAATGGAGAGCCAGTTACATGTTCACCGGCATATTTTATCGTTAGAGAGTGTCTTCCTGCTTCCTGAGGTTTGACATTTAATGTGAATGTCGCGTCCCCGTGATCGTAAAGTTCACAGTAAGCAACTTTGTGTGGTCCATCGCAATGTGCAGTTAATTCTCCTGAAAAATTGAAAATATTATGAAATTTCTATTTTAAATAAATCCTAAGATTTATTATTCTCAATGAAATATCTCATACCAGGACCCGCTCTTCTTGTATCAATGAAACTTCTTATTTCTTGGCCAACAATTCCATACTTAAGTCCTTCTCCGGAACAAACAACACGCGACGCATCAGCTGCACTTGTAACATTAATTTGTAAAGGACACCCCTTCAATTGTCTTCCATTCCACGAAACAGTCATCAAAAGTGAATCAGACGTGAGCGGTATATAACTTGCTCGATAAACACTGTCCCCTATAAATCATAAATTTTTAAATTAAACATTAAATTCTTCAAAACTATATCTTAACTCCTAAGAATTAAAAGTTAAAAACTACTACCCAAGTGTTGCACATTAACGTTGACTTCATTAGTTGGTGAGAAAAGTTGAACCTTGGGTGTTCCACTTCCTGCTTGCGAACCGTCGATCGTAAAACTAACTTCCTCGCCACATTTAGCTGACGTTAAACCTCTACCTCTCAACATTACTCTACTCGTGTCCTGAAATTGCTATTAAGAAAGTTTTTAAAACGTTGAATAACTAATGGAATTTGTTGCAATTTAAAAAAACAATATCTTCCGATATATGTAATGTAATAAATTATTCACCTCTCCATCAACAATTGCAAGTTTTGGAGCACCTGGGAATGGAATACCATTGAATAATATTTCAAATCGATGCTCTCCACCATTCATTTGTGGCGTAACAAGTTTAAGCCTGTTATTAGAAGTCATTTCAAAAGATAAGGGATGATCTCCAATTTTACCACTCAGTTCACCAGGTCCAGCTTCTGATGTATCGAAACTTATTTTATTTGAGGCATGAATTTTTAATCGTCCCATTTCATCGCACAATGCAGACCAGCCTCCTATTTTTTGTATCAAATACATACATAATATAAGTTGAAATAATTATTTTCTTTTATTTTCATTTATGAAATTAGTCAGTTAATTTAATAGACATGACATTTGAGACATTTACCTATGACTCGTAAATTTTTAGTGTCAATGATCTTTGGATGCCAGGGAGAACCTGGTAATTGCTGGCCAGCACATACCACTCTAACATCAAAAACTCCTACTTCCGTCGGAGAATATGACACATTCCAAGTTCCAGGATTTGCTCCTGCTTCAATTGTTGCTTTTGATATACTGTCAGGACCGTCAACCTGCAAATATTTTATTTTTTTACGCCGAAAATTTATTATTTCTTCGCTAAAACAGGGGTTATATATTTAAAAGATCACAGTTTGTCCCCTTTTTTCAAAACAAAATTACCTAAGATCATTTTAAAAAATAAACAGAAAAAAATTTTAGTTTCTATACATTTTATGTTTAAAGATATTTTTCACTCTTCAAAAAGTGGGTGGTCCCACAATTCTGACCGGTAGTGTATAAGAATTTTGAATTTTCATACAAATAAAAGTTCGGATAAATGAAAAATCTGATGAAATGAAAATACTCCTATTTCAAAATTCGACTAAGGAAAAATTTTATTAAATTTTATCCACTGATAAATAAAAATTCTTCTTAATATGAAACTTGGGTTAAATAAGAGTTTTGTTAAATAGAAATTCTGTTACCTAAATCAAAATACTATTCAATGTGTCAAATTAAAGTTCTTTTTTACGGAAATTTTGCTAAATATAAATTCTATAAAATGAAAATTCGGTGAACTGAAGAATCTGATATATAAAAGTTCGATTAAATGAAATTCGCTTAATCCGAACCACTCAAAACAGCTGCATGAAAAAGAAAAAATACAATTTGTTTTAAATTAAACTTAACATATGTTTTAATGAAATACAATAGTTGTGAAATTTTCAAATTTGCTTTCCTCTATTTTTTAACTGAAATTGAACAAAAAGTCCTTGTTACATACTTATTTAAATAGAGGAAACAATTGAGAAGCATTTATTCTAAAAAATAAAATTAAAAAAAGATTATTTAAATTTAAAGTCTACCTGTACAGCCGGTGGACTGCGAGTACCAGTTACTACAAAATGAGCAGGTTTTCCTACGACGCCGGTCAATAAACCCTCTCCTTTTGCTCGAGCTTGTCCTGCTGCTTCCACTGTACACATCAGTGGACTACCCGGAATAGTACAACCTCCTATTTCGGGAGAAAAACCATTCATTTATTAAAACATTTGCACTCTTATTATATTACTTGCTCATAAAGGAATTAAATTATATCTATTGGTGAAAATTTTCGGTTCCGAGTTTTTGATGTATTAATCAAGTTTAGTTTTATTTTTTTTCGTTTTTCATTTTTCGTATTTGCGAACTTTTTACTTTAAAATATTACGAAGTAATTGAGGTTTCAAAAATAAAAAATTCCAAAGAACGTGACTTTTTGAAAAATTTTAGTTTTCAATTCAAAAATTCCCATCTCTATTAGGAAGTAAAGTGTTGATGAAATTATTATCAAAAGATATACGAGTCAAAATAAATGCAAAGGTTCTACAAGTTGGTATAGGTTTTAATATTTATTTTCCTTAAGCATATATGAAACACATTTCCTGTTCAAATTTCACTTTTGTTATTGTAGTTAAAAAGAAATTTAGGACCAACAACAATGTTTACATTTGTATTTATCAAGTTTTTTAAGCGTTTTTCAACCAAACAAATCGTCAATAATTGTTGTGACAAAATAAAAGTATAATTATAAAAAAGTAAACATTTCCACCAAAAAATTTTTTATTTCTTCAATCACAAAATATGTAATAGTGATTGAAAAAGGGGATTTTTTAAAATAATGATTGATTAGATAACTTTGAAAATGTTTTTCTAAGTTTCTTTATTTCATTTTAAAATGTATTTAATTACTAAATAAATGAAGTTGAATTTAAAAAAAAATTGACTTCTTACCATAAGTGACATTGATCATGTATGTGCCAGGAACACTGGGTGAAAATTCAATCAATTCCGCCCCATCATTAAGCGGTGTAACTTGCAAAGGAAGTTCCTGTCCTAAAGGACTTGTAGCCGTAACATCCAATTCTGCCATTCCAGCATCTGTTTTAATCACTGAAAAAAACTTTTCTTTATCTTTATGCTCAGGCACTTGACAAATAATCATTTTGTACATTTTAAAATGCTGTGTTCCCTCAAAAACATAGTAACGCGAGTAACTGGTATAGTAACCGAAAATTCGAAGGAGTCAGTTCGACAACTCCAAAACGTTTGTTAAAACTCGCGGAACCTGCGTATCAAAGACTGCATTCACCTTTCCACACGGGCAAGGCTATTTGAAAGTAGACTAGATTCGTGATATCTGCCACAATTATGTTAGGCAGCCTTGAGAGACCTTATAGTTATACACATATGTACTAGAAAAGAAGAAAAGTTATGTGACTTTCTCCATAGTAATTTGAATATGATCACTTCTTCTCATACGAGAAGTATAATGATCCTTCATTACGTGGAAAAACTGTCTTCTCTCTTTTTCAGATAATTTATCAACGGTGAAATTCAATTACTCGAAAGTGTAAATAACTATGTACATGAAATAGTCACAACAATTTCTTCAATCTAGGTGTGAAAATTTCTTTTCTTATATTCAATAATTCACAAAGAATGTATTCACTTTTAATGCAAAAATCTGTTTTACTCGAAAGACATCATTAAAATATAAATTACACATGTATCCAATTCTTTCATATTTGAAACTTATTTTTTATTCGAAATCAAAGTAAAAAAAAAATTCCAAGTAGAATCAAGCCTCTCATCCATTTTTGGATGACATTAATCAACGTTTTAATTATAATTAGTTGAAAGTACATTTTATTATTTATGCTAAATAATTCTAAACTTTATTATAGCTTGTACTAAAAAATGTCGTATAAGCTTTCTTCAAATTTTAAATTTTCATATGAAAATTTCGCTTTGAAACATAAAATACTTTTGTGAAATTTGACAATTATTTTGTTGAGTGTACCATTGTAACAGCCATTAATCAAAACTGTTTGATTCAATTTTACTGAATACCAACTTGTGTGAATTATATGTAATTATTTATTTGAAAAGTGACTTATGATAAGAGCATTAAACTTGCAACGTGATTTAGAAGTGAAAGTCTCATGAATGATTCAGTCCTTATGCAATGATTACAACCCTTCATTTGTATATATGTATTACTTAATATTTGTCAAGAATGAAATTCTCTTTTCTATTTAACTGTTTACGGCACATTTCAGGTGCTTGAAACAAAAATATTAATAAAACCTTTACCATTAATATTTCTGTAATAAAAATGTTAACTTACATTTGAACGCCACGTGATCGTGAACAGCAACTGTTGTTGGTCCCAGTTCTTGTAATTTTATTTTATTTGGATCAAAAGCTTGACAGAAAAATGGTGAACCTAATACAGGTTTTGCTCCTTGTAATACGTCAATTTTATAGGTTCCTAAAGAAAACAAGTTAAAACTCAATCTGTATTAATTAATCTTATACAAAGTGATTCTTCTGAAATTGAAACTTTTCACTTTGTGATTAAAACACACGTATCTATAAAAAAATTCTACTTTTTTATAAATTATTTCAATTTTTATGATATTCAAAACATACGTTTAAAATTTAATCAAGATTTTTCGATTTTAGATTGTTAAGAGATCCCCCTAAAAATTGCAAATGAAAAAAAACTCTGTTAATTTTTAAATTTATCTTGAGTTTCTTTTTATACTTATTTTATTGTTTTCATAATTTTTTAATTAAGCTTCATTTCTTACACTTCAGTTATTATTTCTCTGTTTCTTAAATTTATTATTACGGATGGGTTTTGTAAAAAAATGTTTTACGCACCTGTATCAAAAATAACTTTTTTGCAACACTAACCTCTAAAGTTAAATTTTACACACCGAAAAGTGTGTGTAAAGAAGCTCTTTTTAAAACGGTGTGTAAAGTGATTCACTTTACGCACTGAAATATTACTTTACACACTGAAATTTACTTTACGCGCAGAAATTTCTCTCACATAATATAAGGATTGTTTTAGACCATACAAAACCACAAAATTAAAGAAAGAACTTTACTTTTAAACTTATACACTACTGCTTAATGATATTTATACAATCGAAATTATTCTAATAGAGAGTTGGAATTCTTCATAATAGGTACTTAACTTTAGAGGTGGGTGTTGCAATTTATACACTGAAAGAAATTTCATAGGAAAAAATAACAAAATGCGTATTACATTTTAATATATTCTTTTAGAATTTAGGGAAAAGTGTACTTTTTATTAAAATTCAATATACTTTATATTAAAGTTCCAACTTAAAATCTTTTTTCAAATATTAATAATTATTGTAGAAAGAACGTAAAAAGATTACCAATATTTGAAAATATTATATTAAATTCTCATAGAGTTGTTGCATTATATGGAATGTAGCGTTCTAATATTTGTAAAACTTTATACGAAAAATTCAGAATGTCGGAAGAAAAGGGAAAAAAAGCGGAAACTGTCGGACGTTTCCGTTAATTCTCGGGAGGAAGAGGAGTGAGACTAGGAACAACACATTCACACTTATGATACAGGTTAATACACATACTAATGAACACGCACGTTCATTTCGCTTATACATAGACATTACACGATCGCAACGAAACCTACACTTACAATTCTATACGCATAACGATAAATTTCGCTGGGGGTCGGCATATATCGTTTTCTTATATACTAACTACTGAATATTTTTACCACTTGCGAGAAAGAAGTTTACTTATAATAACTTAACAATAAAAAATAGTTTACTAGTGCCAATGGTGTAATTTTATAGAGGTTACGCTGGGTTCATTTTTATTATTAATTGTTTATATAGATTTTTCTTTTTTTTCAGATTAAAAATTATGATTGTTATAAAAATTTTTATTGCAAATAAAAATTAAATAATTGTAAAGATGACATCAAAAAATAAAAATTAATAAAAATAATAATAAATTTAATAATTAATAATAAATTTATTATTATTAAATAACTTTAATAAAACATTTTTTATAAATTGAAAATAAATTAGGTACGTTCTGCTGGTTAACAACACTTTCGAAAATCGGATCAAGTCGTAGAAGTTCGAGTAGGACACGAAGCCGCAAACAGACAGAACTTCGGTTAAATTCGTAGTCTCTCGGGAAAATCCGTGACTTTTAATATAAAGTTTTACAAAATGTGAAATAAGTATACGGATATATGTTATTTTTCTTACTATTTTGTGAAATTATTTATTATAATATTTCGTATTCTGTGAATTCATAAAGAAAATACTAATTTTTAAAATAAATATACTAATTCTTATTTCTTAAAATAATAGTTACTCTTAAATTCATTATATATTTTCATAAAAACTGTAGTAGTAATCAGTATAGGTGCACTTTTTCCCTAAATTGTAACATTTATATTAAACTCTAATATGAGTTTAATACTTAGTAGTATGAATTTTCTTTCAGTGTAAATACGGGAATGATTTTTTAAAAATCTGAACTATTGTTTATTAATTAATTAATTGTGAGGTATTGTATATTAAGTTTAGATGTAACCTCCAATAATAAATTTAGTAATTATTATTATATGCAATATAAAATTAGAAAATTAGAATGACAAATGTAAAAAATATTCGAGAAATTTAAATAATTGTAATGTTTCAATGAGTGTCATTTAGAAAATGATCTAATTTACAAATGTGATATAAATCTAGATATATTCTAAAAGAAAGTCTTACCAGTTGAATTAGTTGTGAATTCAGCTAACAAATTCCCATCTCGATGCTGATAACATCGTACAGGAACCGCATTACCTTGCGGCCCACTAATCACGACATCAAACTCCTTTCCAGGTCGTCCTAACGTTTCGATCGTAAAAGATGTAATTTTACCCACACAAGATTGATATAATCCTAATCCTGTTGATGTTACTTCTCTTCCTCCTGTTGGACCTCTTACGGCAACTTCAACGGGACTTCCTAACATTATATATTCAATATTAAATATTTGCCAAATAAAAATGTATAATTTTAGTTAAAAAAAGAAAAGAGAAAAAAATGCATAAAATAAATATTTATTGTAGCGTAAAATTACTCGAAATAGAATAACTTTAATTTGAGATTTCTGAGAAAGTAATTAACTTACATAAAATAAAATACACAATTGGTTATAGAAATATGACCTAGAAAAAGAAAAATGAATTGCAAATAAATTCATGGAGGAAAGAGGAGAATACCTTGGATGTGAACATCGTTATATTTAATATAAACTCGATGAGGAGCAGCTCGTGTTGGATGAAAAATAACTTCATAAACTCCATTATCTCTCTCTCTTACTAAACTATCGACATCTGCTCCTCCTGCACGGACATTTACACTCAATTTTCCAGGACCGGCTTCCTTGGATGCAACAACTGCACAGAAAATATATTTTAATTGTACTTAAATATAAAAAAGTAATTTAATTATTGATTAATTATTTCTAATATAATTCGTAAAAATAATTATTTTACAGAAATTACAAAAATTGGAAAAAAGTATTAAGCCAAAAATTGTGGTACTTACACATTTTTATAACGAACAATTTTTCTAAATCAAATGAACAAAATTATACACAAGAAATTTAAAAATTCAAATTTTGTAAAGTTTTAAGAAGTCACATACCCTTTTGCTCGGAAAAATTGTCCAATTTTTATAATTTTTTTTAATTATCTTATCTAAATTATATTAAAATGCAGTAAATTGTTTCTAATAGCATGTATTTCCGTGTATTTGTTACGAGTTTAACAAACAAAAAATATTAATAATTATGGAAACTATGACCGTTATTTTTGAAACAAATCGTCACAAATACATGAAAACATATCCTATTTGATATAATGTACTTCATTTCATTAATATTTCGATGAATTAATTTTTTTTAATTTACACTTCATACATAAGTTTAGAAAAATATCTATTTAAAAATTATTATTATTTATTAAACAACTACCTAAAACTGTGCCTGGACGATGACAGACAGTATCGGATATTTCTTTGATTGTCACTTTGGTTGGATCGAAAACTTGCAGACTTTGAGAACTAATCATTTTTGGACCATCGCTAAAAATTACATTATAAATACCAACTTGTCTCGTTCTTATTTCCACGCGATAAAGATTAGAAGAAATTTTTGTCAATGCACAAGGAATAATAATGCCATCTGGACCTAAACAAAATTTTTTTTAAATAAATTAATTAGGTATTAATATAATTTATAAAAAATTGAAAAACTTATTCCCAAATACACACTTGTAACTTCGGCAGATACAGGGCCAGCGAGACTTGGCATATCTAAATCCATATACGCAGTATTTCCAACTCTAATCATTGAAGGCCCATCGAGAATGCTACCAACGACTGGACATTTGAACGGACTTCCTGCAATATCATTTATAACATTGCAAATGTTATGGTACTAAATTTAAATATTAAAATAGTGGGTTACAAAAAATTCATACCTGGGACATTGTCATCGTTGAAACTGATATTGACGTAATGCGTGCTCGTTGTTTGTGGAACAAAAGTAACGTCATAAAGGCCTCGAGCGCAAGCAACAACTTCTGCCTTCACGGTATTATTTTCAGTGCTTACAACTAATTCTAATGTACCTTCTCCAGCTTCTGCGGCATCCACTGTAAACGTTGTTGCCTGTCCGAGTAAAGCTTCCGAAAGACCAGACACATGAACCTTTATACAATTAAAATCTTCTTTTTACCACAAAGTAATCATCATCTCAGTAAGTTGAAAAAAATAAATTTAAAGCAAAAATTTTCTGGACATTTTCTGACATTTGTTTAGCGCGAAAAATCTCTTCAAAAACATTGTCACTTTATAATGTTTTTAAAATTAACGCCTAAATTTGTAAAAAACAAAAATGTTCACATAGAAAAGTAATAATAAAATGTACCTTAGTTACGTCATAAATATTGCAGGCAAACGGAGATCCCTTTATTGGTTCACCATCAAGTAAAATGCTGATATTGTGCCTTCCCACTTCCGTTGGCATGAAACTAATGTTATATTTTCCATCGATTGGTTCGATTGTTATAGGAAGAGCAATATTTGATGGTGGCGTTACGATTACATCACAATTCAACGATGCCATTTGAGGATCAACATTAAAAGATATTAATCGTTTGACTGCTCCCAATTTTAAATTATGTCCCGTTATTAAAGCTTGTCCAGCTCCCACAACTTTGCAACTAAACGGTGAACCTAAAAATAAAACAATTTACTTACTTACAGCTCAAAAAGAAAATATTTCTTTCAAACAAATTATAAAATATTTAATTACCTGGTACAGGTTCACCATTAAATCGAACACTAAGACTGTGCATCGCTGCTTCTTGAGGTTTAAAATTGACCTTGAATTTTGCGTTACCTTCGCTCTGTACATAATTTGGAACATTTTTTCCATTAACTGCAACGATTATTTCCAAATTTCCGGCTCCTGCTTGACTTGCGTTAACTGAAAAGTTTTGTTAGCAATTTTTCATTTTAATGTAATATAAATTTATTTTGAATTAGTGCGTGTGCACTATCATCATTAAAATAAATTGTAAAAATGGTAAATAAGTTGTAAATTGATTTATGATAAAGACGCAATCTGAACACAGATTTTAAATCATCAAATTGACGTATCCAATACATTTTCAATTCAAAAAATAAATAAAACAATATCTTTGCACCCCAATACAAATAATTACAAAAAAATAACATTTTTAAATAGTTATAGAAACATGGGTAAAGTGGTATTTTCTAACATATTTCGACATTTCAAAAACAATTTTATTTCAAAATAAAGAATATTAAATTATATTTAACTTTTAAAATCCACACAACTGGGTTTGGATGTTTATAATTTTTTAATTTTTTTTTTTTTTAAATCATTTGTTTTTAAGTATTTGAAAAGTTTTTTTGCGGTATTCAAGTTTTGTTAATTTATTTCATAAGTATTACTCATGTTCATTCAATGAAAATAAATAAAAACACTTCTCACCTTACTTGAGTTTCTCCTAAATCTTAAAATTTATTTGTTGGAATTTTCATTTGATAAAAATTCATTAACTAAAAAATAGCCATATTGATTTTTCATATTATAAAAATTTTATACTTACCGAATTTTCATATAAAAAAATGTTTATTTAACAGAATTTATATTGAGCCTCATTTTTTTATGGCGCGAATTTTCCAGTTCAATGAATTTTAATTTAACTTAATTTTTATTCACCAAATTTAAATTTATCAGACAAATTTACAGTAACCTGAGTTTTTATTTAACGAAATTTAGATTTAATGCAGTTTCAATTTAACAAAATTTATTTTATATGAAAATTCATTGAAACAAATATTCTGTAATTGAAAAAATTTCTATTTAGCAGAATTTCCATTTAACATAGGGTCATTCCATTATATTTCACCTAAAGTCGTTGCGGCCTAATTTTTAAAGAAGTTGATACTTTCAGAAATGATTTTTTATGATATTTAGGAAACGAAATAAAAAGAATTAAGTTAAAATTTTTATTATTTATCTCAAAATATGTATTTAAAGTGGACAAGGTGCGGAAAAATGTCACCTTTTTAGCATTTAGAAACTTTTTTTAAAAACATAGAAAAATTGTTAAAAGTGTAAAAAAAATTATTTTTTCTTGTTTAGAATCGATTAATTATCTATTTTTTAATGATTAAAGTAGTAAATAAATTAAAATAATATATAAAATAAGTTTTCAAAGTTGGTCTGTCAAATAACCTAATTTTGGGATTTTTATTAATTAATTACTAAAAAGTGGAATTATTAAATAAAATAAAAACTTACCGAATGTAAAGTATTTGTGGTGAACTTTCAAATTTTCTTAGCACTTTGTACTTTTTAAATTTATAAATGTAAAAAATCTTGAGTCGAAAATTTGCACTTTGTTGACTTTTCCGATTTTTAATCGCTTGTAACTCTTTTGGTGCAAAATAAAAACTTTTGAAACCTTGTGGAATATTTAAGTTAAATCTAAATAAAAACTCACTTAAATTTTTGTGATGGATTTTGATCGAGATAAGGAGAAAATTTAATTCCAAAATTGTACGTATATTTCCAGGTTAATGTATGTAATTTTTTTAAACTTGAAGTTGGGCCACTACTTCAAAGACGAAAAATTACATACATTAACCTGGAAATATACGTACAATTTTGGAATTAAATTTTCTTCTAATCTCAATCAAAATCCATCACGAAAATTGCAGTGAGTTTTTATTTAGATTTAACTTAAATATTCCGCCAGGTTTCAAAAGTTTTTATTTTGCACCAAAAGAGTTACAAGCGATTAAAAATCGGAAAAATTAACAAAGTGCCAATTTTTGACTCAAGATTTTTTACATTTATAAATGGAAAAAGTAAAAAGTGCTAAGAAAATTTGAAAGTTCACCGCAAATACTTTACATTCAGTGAGTTTTTATTTTATTTAATAATTCCACTTTTTAATAATTAATTAATAAAAATCCCAAAATTAGGTTATTTGACAGACCAACTTTGAAAACTTATTTTATATATTATTTTAATTTATTTACTACTTTAATCATTAAAAAATAGATAATTAATCGATTCTAAACAAGAAAAAATAATTTTTTTTACACTTTTAACAATTTTTCTATGTTTTTAAAAAAAGTTTCTAAATGCTAAAAAGGTGACATTTTTCCGCACCTTGTCCACTTTAAATACATATTTTGAGATAAATAATAAAAATTTAAACTTAATTCTGTTTATTTCGTTTCCTAAATATTATAAAGAATCATTTCTGAAAGTACCAAGTTTTTTAAAAATTAGGCCGCAACGACTTTAGGTGAAATATAATGGAATGACCCCATAATTTTATTTAAACAAATTTATTTTAAATGAAAATTCATTGAAACAAATATTCTGTAATTGAAAAGATTTCTATTTAGCAGAATTTCCATTTAACATAATTTTATTTAAACAAATTTATTTTAAATGAAAATTCATTAAAACAAATATTCTGTATTGAAAATTTTTTTTTTTGCAGAATTTTCATTTAACAGAATTTCTATTTAACCGAATTATGTTTAAGGGAGTTTCTACTGAAGGCAACTTTATTAAACAGAATTTATTTTAACCAAACTTTAATTTGTACGAAAATTTTAAATTCTTATAAGTTTATTAAGAGGAATATTCCTGCGTCTTTTTTTAATATTCATAATATATAATGTATAAAAAATCGAACAAGTGAAAATCGATGAAATGGAAATTTTGTTAAATAAGAATTCGAAGAAATAATACTAAGGTAATCATAAAATTCTATATAGTTAATGAATTTCTATCAAATGAATCTTAGGACTTAATTATGCGTATCGAAAATGTGAAAAGCATAATAGCACTTACTACTGAAAAAGACAGGTTTTCCTACAACTCCATTGTTGATGTCCGTAACTTTTACTTTATCTGCATTATAAGCTTTTACAAGAAATGGACTTCCTTCCACGTGTGAACCGTTCAATTTAACTTCAACGCTATGGTCACCTGGAGAGAAAAATTTATAAATTACGTTTCAACTAATTTGAACTGGTGACTAATTTTTTGCTATGAATTAGGTTAAATTTTACTAATGAATAAATTAAGTAAAAAATCGTTTAATCATTAATTACGTACCAACGTCTTTGGGTGTGAAACCAGCATTATATGAACCATGTTCAGTTTGTTTAATTTGAACAGGTATACTTTCTCTTGTTGGCGAAAGAACTTCAATAACTGGTGATCCTAATGAAGGGTTTGCTTCAATTGTAAATGTAGCGACTCTATTTACTGACACCTTTTCCAGAACTTCTGTTATCAGTACTCTTGCCGTGTCGCTCACCTAAATTTGTCATTTTTTACAATATTATTATTATTATTATTATTATTTACATACATTTTTTTAAGAACCGTAATAAATAATTGAATTTGACAAAAATCCGAATTTGATATTCTTACCTGACAACTGAAGGGGCTACCAGGTACGTCCTCGCTATTAAAACGCAAATCCACAGTATGTACAATTGGTTCCCGAGGTGTGAAAGATATTGCATAAGTGTGAGAACCCTGAGCTTGAGCTGAAGTTGGAACTCGGCCTCCGTTTACTGTCACTTCTAAATTTCCTGGTCCGGCTTGACTGGTTTCCACTGTAGATAAAAGTATAGAAAATTAATAATAAGGCAAAATTACCATTACTTTTATGATAAAAGTAAATGAAATTTACAAAATTGAGTAATTTTAAATGATATAAATTGGTCCAAAAACACTATGAAAATTAATATATTTTGATTTCAAAGGACCGTTTCAAAATTACCGTTTTGTACCCTTCAAAAAAGATCTTCATGATTTTTATCAAATTTTTTCATCAAGCCATATTTACGAAATATGAATTTTTCAAAATTGGAGAATTTAAATGATTTTTTATTTTTCAATTCTCATAACTTCTTTAAAAATGTGCATCAATTTTAAAAGCTTTTTTCCAAAATGTGTGTTTTTAACTGAACTTTTCAAAAATTTCATCAATGAAATTATAAAATTAAAATTTACCAGGGTCAGTTGGGGTAAATGGGGACAAAATCCCTATTTTCCACAAATTACGTAAATTTCTTCCATTAAAAGGTAATATTTGCGGGGTTATTTTTTTTTAAGTTATTATTTACATTCCCAGGATTAATTTTATGCAGTAGAAAAAAATTTAAATAAGCTTTAAACTCCATTTACCCCAAGATTTAGAAAATTTCCTAAAATTTGGGGTAAATGGATACAGCATAGTTTCAATGAAAGGTTTAAGAAAAAAGTTTCCTTAAGTATTAAGGAATGAAAAAACTTGAAAAAATTTTGTAATATGGCGGACGAACTTAAAAATTGTCTTATAAATTGATTAAATTTCCTTGGTTTATGTCTTTTACTTATTTTTTTTTATTTCAGTATTTTGTCGCGCATTTGAAAAAACAGACTTAAAAATCAAACAAACATTTTTTCTTATTCCTTATGATTTCCATAATATAAATTCACTTGAATTTTTGATTTTTGTCAATTTGGTTAATAATAACAAGCTGTCCCCATTCACCCCAACTGATCCTATATTTTTCGTAATTTAAAAGTTAAAATCTTGTTTTTAAAACTGTTTGAATCATTCAATTTCTTTAAATTTTTAAAAAAACCACTTACTTTTACAAAAATTTTAAGCCTGGTTTGGTTATGGGAAAACAATTTTTTCGGGATTTTTTTCAAATTTTCGATATTTTGCATTTCTTAAAAATATCTCCAGTTTTTTTTGTACTAAGTACTTTTATGTATTTTGATGCGCTGATTACGAAAATGATAGTGACAATACTAAAAAATTTGATGTTTATGGTGAAAACCATAAAAAAGTCCTAAAATTTTTGTTTTTCTTTTGTTTATTGAGTAAAAATATACAAAATTTTCAAAAAGTACATAAGATAAAAAAATGTATTTCAATTGAAAATTTCGAAAATTTTAAAAAATATTGAAAAAATTTATTGTCTCACGACCCCAGACCAGGCTTTAAATTTTTTAAAAGGAAGTAGTTTTTTTGAAAATTAAAAAAAAAAGAAATCGAAGAATATAAACAGTTTTAAAAATAAGATTTTAACGTTTAAATTACAAAAAATATACCTAGTAAATTTTAATTCTATAAATTTTTTGCGTGAATTTTTTGAAAAGTTCAGTTAAAAACACATTTAAATAAAAACTTATAAGTTAATAAGTTGAAAGTTATAAGCATTAAAAAATAAAAAATCATTAAAATTCTTAAATTTTGAAAAATTCATATCTCGTAAACGGCTTGATGAAAAAATTTGAAAAAATCTCCCGGTGTAAAATTTGAGTCCCGGCTTTTGCCCGGTTGTAAATAATTTACCTAAAAATGTGACTGGCGTTCCAATGACTCCACGTTTGGCATCCTTGACTTTGATAGCAGTGACATCATAGACTTTGCAGCTGAAGGGGCTACCGACCACGGGAATATTTCTATGGCTGACAGAAATTCTATGTTCTCCAACGACCCTCGGTGTAAATGCCACTGAGCAGGTCGTGTCTTTATTGTCGGTCACTTGAGCTGGTACGGCCTGTCCATTGGGTCCTATCAAGTCCGCCGGTTAGTAGTTGTTTAATAAAATTTAGTCAGCCAACTAGGGTGGATTATCGGGGCACTGGGATAGTACCACAAAAATCGAATGTCTTCTTCTTGTTTGTGTGTGTGTATATAAATCTTCTTTATGTGTCATAATTTGATTTGGCTTCGCAAATTATCAACACACCATTCAAGAAGCACAACAAAAGCAATACGATTTTTACGGCTCTACCAGCAATTAAAAGTTATTAACGGGGATTTATCAAAATTTGTTAGTTTCAACTCTCCAAGCATAACCCTGTTTTTTTTTTTTCTTTAAACCAAGCTCAGAGAAATATATACGTTTCAATTAAGCTTTTGATATTGTAAAAATGAAACGAAATTTACAAAAAAAAATTTAAATATCAAGCTAAAAATTAAAATAAAATTATTACATATTGGCATATACATAAGCGAAAAATTCGCTTTCTATAAACAAGTTTAATAATTATTCTATTTTGTTTATGGCAAAATTAATATTAATCTTGGCACAATAAAAATTAACAAAGAATAACTTTGCTGGAATTTTCTTTAATGAATTAAAGCATCTAGGAATGTCTTAATAATGAGTTTTTGTTTGCACCACAGCAGCTGATGGCTTCAACACATTTAACAATGTGTTGTTAATATTTAATTATTGAAATTATAACGAGAAATATGGGGGAGGGGGCAATGGAGGAATTTGAATCCTAAATCTCTGGGTCTCAGACATTGCTTATAAAACTATTTTAAAAAAAATTATGAAATAATAAACCAGTGAGTAAAAAGAGAGCCAGTAACCAGATTAAAAAGGAACATGAGAAGGAATGTTAGCGAGATTAGTTTAGTGTATCCTTACGTAAAAATTTAGGAGACTTGCAGTTAGGAACCCACCACCATTTCATTGATTTTTTACATGTCCATATATATAAGTTATTAGATTAAAACGAAATGAATTTGTTTTAAAAGTCTAGTAATGTCGTAGTCTGAAAGCTGGCCGACCTGCAACAAAGAGAGAATTGCTCTCAAGCCACCAGTAACGAGACTGACACTTGTGCTAGTTCCTTCCCAACATATAACAGAAACACAATATTCTTGTTATTTCGAAATCTTTATATTAAACGACAATCGAAATTAGTACACATTAAAAACATTTAGATTGATAAAAATAAGTGCAGTTCCTTTAAGAGTCTATGAAATATGATATTCATCAAAATTCTTTAGCTGATTATTTTTAATATATTTTTTAATATATCGTTGAAAATTTTATTACTCAAAACACTCTGTTGGAAACTAAAAAAATCATCTCTCTAAATTTGAATAAATGGTTTTAGAATTATTATGAAATTCTACCTGAAATAAATTTTAAAAAAATATCTATGTTATTAATTAAGTAGATATGATAATTAATAGTATGAAAAAAAGTGAAAGTAAAAATTATTTTAAAAAATAAATCAAATATATATAATAATTAAATTTTTAAATAAATTCAATAAAAGACAATTTAAATGAAATTAAAAGTGATTTAAAAATTAATTTTGAGTTTATGTCTAATGTCTACTGGTATTTAAAGAAATCTCAGACCAGAAACACAACAAAATAGAACAGTGCGAATAAACATGTACTCATTTGATTAAAATTAGTGACATGTCAAGTGACACAAAAATTTACATAGTGAAATGATGAAGTGCATTTACGAGAATATAAACTGAGTCAAACCAACAATAATTTATAATCACAAGGATGTGAAGTATGGATAAAATACTAGATCTGGAGAACAAAGATAATTACTACATATTATATATCAACAACTAAATAATTTTATTATTAAAATTTATTTTAAAAAAATAAAAACTATTTTTAATTTGTAATAATTATTTAATGAAAAGAATGATAAATATTAAAATAAACTTTACTCTCTATTTTTGATGAGATAATATTTAAAGAGAATGAAAACATACCTTCAACGTTAACTTCTAAATCTTCCAAGCTACCGGCAACATTACTGACGGTAAGATAACTTTGCCGTCCTAACCCAGCACTGCTTAATGCCTGCCCACTTACTGTAACATGACTATCGCCACCCACTCTCGTAATAATCGGACAGCCAGGTACAGTACGTTTATTAAACGCAATGTTTATAATATGCTCGCAAGCCTCGAACGGAACAAAACTAACAGAAAAACGAGCATTGCCTTGTGGCGTTACTTGAGTGGGTATATTCTGTCCACGTGCCGATATTGTTATTTCTAAATTTCCTTCGCCAGCCTGACTTGCATCAACTATTAAAAAACAATTTATTACCATTATAGTATTTTAAACATATAAAAAATATCCATTTCTACTTTCTATAATTTTTTAAAAACCACATTCTCATTTACTGTCATTTTCCCGATTAATTATCCACCAATAGCAGTTTTGCGCAAATTCAAAGTTCAAATAATTTTTTAAAAAAATGTCTAATCTTTAATTCGTGTGATTTAATTACATCGAAATTTAACCCTCCGTTGATACGGCCAAGGCCTTTGTGGAATTCCCTCACATGATACAATATTTTCAATAGAGCTCTTTTTGTACCTACAAACTAATTTATTAGAAATAGTTCTCACAAAACGTGGCTTATAAAATTCGACACATTTTTTTATAACTTCATCAATGGTGTAATTAAATTATTATTAAAGTGGTCAACGGAGGCTTAAATTACTTTGTAATTCTCATTAAAATGTATGAAAAATCTCGAGATACTTTACGTGAGAAGAACGTCTCAATTTAGTCGAAATTCTAAAAATAAACTAACCACTGAAATGTGTTGGTTGTCCGACACTACCCCTTGCCACGGATCCAATGAGGACCTTATCAGCGTTAAAAGCTTTGGCCAAAAAGGGCGTTCCATTAACCGGATGTCCATTGTATTCAACACTAATAGAATGCACTCCAACATCCCTTGGTGTGAATTCAGCGGTGAAGCCACTGTGTATATTACCTGTGACTTTGACAGGTAATTCCACAGTTGGTCCTAGAAAGTAAAGATCGCATCGTATAAATGAAATTCCCTCGTCGATAGTTAAGTTTGAAAAGTAGTAAATCGAGATTTTTAATGAGAGACGACAACTTGCCTCTTACGGAGACCGCAAGTTCGGCGCTACCACTTCCATCAACAGCCATGTGAAAGCTAGCGGGTTGATCTACCGGTATTAACTCTAGATGATTAAGGCTCAGAGTAACTCGACTAGTATCTGATACATTACAAATAAAAGGACATCCAGGTACGGCTTCTCCATTGAACTTGATATCAATATAATGAGGCTTGGCGACATCAGGCGTGAAGGATACGAGGCATCGACCTCCTCCTACCACTTGCACGTGATTAGGCACTTCTCCTTCGTTTATTGAGATTTCCAATTGACCTTCTCCGGCGGCACTTGCATCAACTGAAAAAATCATTCAATTCATTAGCCCCATTATCTTTTTACTGGCAAAGTCTCAATTAGCCACTGACATAATCAATTTATATTATATAAAAAGGGAATAGTCAAAACACCTTTGAAATAGAAAATTCGACATTTCTATTGTATAAACTCAATTTAAGACTTATTAAACTAAAAGCTTATGTTATTTAGATATTAAAAAAGAATTTAACTTTATAAAAATCGATTATTTAAACAAATATGAGAAATTAAAATTAATACCGTAATTTTCTATTGCGGCGCGTTTGTATCAATTTCGGTGACCAAAATTACGTGTATTTTAAAGATACTTTGCCCGCCGAAATTGGAGCCAATGGAAATTTTAAAAATGTTTCAATTGCGGCGCGGAAAAAAATTTCATCTCAAATAATTAAATTGATAATTGTTTAAATGTGCATCTTTATAAATAATTGTATCAAGAAAAAAATTAAAATAATGTTTTTTAATCATTTTGCAACAGTTATATTAAATATATGATAGTAATAATAGTTATTTTTTATGAACGCGCCGTAATTGGTACACTTACCCTATATAAGAATTTTTGTGGCGAAATTTCTACTTAATGGAATTTTATAAGGCAGAATTTATATTCAACTGAATTTTCACATCTCAGAATTTTTATTTAACGTAGTTAAAATTTATCCGAAAGTTTATAATCAGACTTTCTAGTTCAACGACTTTCCATTTCAATACAATTTCCATTTAACAGAATTTATATGTACTTATCAAAATTTTCAGAAAGAAAAATTTTTAATTAACAGTCTTTCATTGGTTTCCTATTTATCCAATTATTGGCTGAAGTTTTAAACGTGAGAATTTCCATTTCTAGGGTTGCCACAAGAATAAAATTTTTAATTTTTCTGACATTTCCTTTCCATTGAAAAATTGTATTACATTTAATGAATTTTAATAGAAATATAATAATTTGAAGTTATAAAAACGTTTTTTTTTTACTTTATTTCATTATTTTCACTGAAACAGAGATCACAGTACCTTTTTTCTTTAAAATAGGTGAAAAGGTGAATTATTTACAAATAATAATAGGTGATAAAAAACTAATATGTATATCTCTATTCACCTTTCAATTCACCTGATCGATATTTTTAAAATAGTCAAATTTTCGAAAAACTACAACATTTTTTTAAAAAAAGACAAATTTGGCAAATTTTTTTTTTCGTTTTTGCAAGTTTTTTTAACTTTTTTTTATTTTATCAAAAAATCAGTAAAACTATTGTTTTCCTTACTAAAAAACCAATAAAAATCACGATATATAATTAGTTTTACGTCAAATAGAAACCTTTTTACACTATAATTTAAAGTCAGAGTTATTGAAATTTTTACTAAATAATTTTTAAATCGATGAAAAATTGTGATAAATTCAAGCTTGAGTCAATAGAATCAATGTTTTTAAGTTTTCTTTCATAGTTGTCAAAGTAATCTTTCTTCCGTGAAAAATGACTTTAAAATTTATATTCGAAGGTAAATACAGAAAATTTTATAAAATAATTGTCGGAAATATATGGTATGGATATCAAAACTCATACATAATTTTATTTTACAGTATGCATTTTAGTTTTGGTTGGTGCCCAATACTTGAATTTTTCGTTGATTGGGTATTAAATATTAAAAAAAATGTTCGCACACCCAAAAATCAAAATTTATAGCACCTTATTTGCTACCATGAATTGGAAAATCGCAATAAGAAATATTTTCAGGATTTATTAATTGATATTTGAATAGCCTGAAAATGGTGAAAAATTATTTTGTAAGAGTACCTCTAAATTGGCAGGCATGTCCTACTACAGCACTAGGTACGTCAGTAACTTGAATGAGATTGCTATTGTAGACTTTGGCGACGAGAGGTCCTGCCGGTAACTTTTGTCCCGCGATGCTCACTTCCACCAGGTGACTCCCAACCTCGGTCGGAGTGAACTGAACCCGAAACTCTCCTGATCGCCCTGGCTCTTCGTCAATTCGTGCAGTGATATGTCGTTTTGTTGGTGCTGCAATCATCAAATTCGTCAGACTCATTTCATAATTCTCAGCCTAAAGACTGATTTCTCTACTTTATTGAACCAAGAATTTATTTACTTGAAATAAAAAAAACAAACCTGTTCTTTTAAAATAACATTTTGTTAAAATGAACTTTTAATCCAGTTTCGAAAAACATTGCAATAAATTTTTTTTTAATTTATTACTGAATAAACTGATTATTGTTTAATTTAAATGTTTAAAAATAAACAAACAACATCGCATCTAACATCACCATAAATTGTTTTATGTATTTTTTAAATTAAACTGCAACATTTCTTACTTGTAATTTGCACGTCAATTTCACTGCTACTAAAGCCAAGGGCCGAGAGTTCAAATAACGCGGGACTTCCAGCAGGAACCAGCCTGACGGAATCACCCACGACTGACATTTTTGGACCAGGCATGATTCCTACTCGCCAAGGTGATCCTGAAATAAATATCTAATAAGAAAAATGTCTTTCACAAAATATTATTCACACTTTTTCTTTATAATTATATGCACACGCAGTAAAAAAAAGGATTGAAGAAAAACGAGTTAAATTTTCGAACTAACAATCAATTCGCTCGTTACGAGTTATCATCAAATGACGTCAACTGATAATTAAAATTAACATACATAGAAGGAAGTTATAAATCCACACCTCTTTTTTTCAATTTCTGGTGTAAAAATCTGTGTTTCATTATTTAATTTTCGAGTCGATTTTTAAATTCAAAAATTTCAATCACAACTCGTCGATTTTTTTACAGTGTAGCATACAAAGTATGGACTAAAATTTTTCAAGCGATACTTGCTAAAATTTTATCCCATACATAAACTGATTATCTGCCTATAGCTATTTATATTTTAAATAAATTTGACGAAATCATGATTTTTTAAATTAATTTCATAAAATACAATGTTTTTTGAAAAGAATGAAATAAAACCATAATATTTCTTAAATGACAAAATTTCTAAAAAAGTATGAAATAATTTGCAATATTTAGAATAATTTGAGAACCTTGACTTCTTTTTAAGTCAAATTTGAAAGTAATTTATCACGCCATTTGACAGTGAACAATAATCATAAAAATTCAAGGTCATTAGAACTGAATACTTAACATTTTAAATCAACAATGTTAATGTAACATTTGTATTAAATATTTTTTGTAAATTTTTTTGCAATTTTAACATATTTGCTAAAATAAAATTATTTTCTATACACATTCAATTATATTTTTAACACATTTTATTATCATTAAAATAAATAAACAAATAAATCATTACAAAGTATAAAGCAATTTGATCAAAGTTTAAAACAATAAATTAGCCTGATCCGCAAAAGTTTTTTTTACCAAATATATATATATATATATATATATATATATATATATTTGACAATCAAATCAATTGCGAAAATGGTTTGCAAAATCTAATTTTAATAACTGAAATTTAAAAATCAAGAATTATGATTAGTTTTACAAAAATAGTAGCAGCTTTCACTTTTAATAGAATCAAACCCTGTACATAATTCGCAGATCAAAATAATAAAACCGAAACATCCTGGAAACTGAAATTTCTTAATTTTCCGTCCACTAATCTCATAAGCTTCCTATCTTTCCTTTCATTTTCGTAACTTGTTTTTTAAATCCCTGTTTATATTCTCTTGTAATTGTTATTATAATTATAATTTTGCACAAATAGTAAATAATAATAATTTATAAACTCTAAAAAAACAAAAATTCAAAATTATCCATTATAGACAATAAATGTTTTTTTTACTAAAAAATATTATGAATCTATTAAAAAGATTATTTAGATCAGATGAATAGTTTAATTAATTAACTGTTAATGTTTTATAAATCGAATAAAATTTACATAAGAAAAATGAAAAAAATTTTAAATCTTGTTCAAGAAGAATTTAATTCAAGACATATTGAATACATTATTTGTTGCAATTGTGTCAACAATGAATTAATTCATTAAATTAAATCAATGCTTTAGATGAATAAAATAATGCTTTTGACGTTTTTTTTTAAATACATAATATTTATATTTGCCACGCAAGAGAATTTATTTAAAATATTTACCAATAAGATCACCTTTCGCTCTAGATTAACCTGAAAATCCTAAAAAGAAACTAAAGAAGAATAAAAAAAAAAGAAAAAAAATCACGGTCAAAGATTAAATTTGAAACAGAAAATTTTTGTCGAATTCCTTTTTTGTATGTCGTGTGACGTACACGTACAAGTTTTGCATTCATATACGCACGAACAAGAGCCACAAAGCACAGAACGGATCTCAGAAGAGCACGTTGAAGAATTTCGTTTTTTCTTGGCGATCGATGGTCATAGAGCCGACCAGTGATCGATGGCCGATCGATCTACCACGATCCATTTTCACTACGCGTGTATCCACACTGGACACTAAAATTTAACCTTATGAAAAATTATTAACAATTTTGAAAATACACGAAAAGGAAAAAAAATAATATGACACATATAGAATAGAATATAAAAGGCGTCCGGAAATCTTGAGTCTCGAACTCAACCTAGTCGAACGACGAGACGACTGTGGTCGACGACGGTCCGCCACTCCGATCTCAAACCAGGGCCGTCTCATTCTTGGGTACACTCAATTATTATAATTTAATTAAATAATTAACGTGGAAAATTTGTAAATTCCGTTTAGTTGTAATCAACATGCTTCTCGAGTAGGCAGTTTCTTTTTATAATTATATTTTTAATTCCTGTAATTTTAAAAACGTTTCCTATTTTAAATTTTAGTTTGTTATATTTTTTAAATAAAACATAAAAATTTATTTTTGCAACACTTTTTATAGCTGTAAATTGACATTAAAACTTTTTTCAATTTAGACACTATTTTTTAACTATGAATAATTAGGTATAATTATAAATTAAAATAAGATAGTTAAGTATAGATAGTGAAAAACAGTATTATTTTTTTTATATAAAGCAAAAAGATGATTAATAAGTTAAAGGCTTGTACATATATTAAAACTCTAGTTTCAAAGAATTTTCATAATTACTATATACCTAAACTGAATGATGAATATATCCTCCAAATGTATAGGTATATATCAAATTTTACTTTCCGTTTAGATTGCAATTGATTTCATAATTATTGTTTCATTGAATGTAATATTCTGTCGTGTATACAGATAAGTATCAATTTACTTTCTTCCAGAATTCATTTTTATAAAATCACTTTTTATTCATTTTCTCTCAGAAGTACAACAAAATTATAATTATAGATGTCTACTGTTCAAATAATGAGTTCTCATATTATTAAATATTAATATTGTAAAACTAATATATCAATATATATTTAAAATAAGTTATTACTATCGTTCACTTTTTCAAATTACTATAAAAATTACTATACTACATAGTTGTTAGTATATTTTTTTCTAAAATTATGAAAATTAACAAAATAATAATATATAATTAACCAATAGTCCTATGTTTATTGAAAAATAAAAATACGATAATTTCAAAATAAGAAAAATATAGGGCAAAATTTCTCAAGTGATCCAGCATAAAATGTGTCAACAGTCGATTCTTTGAAAAGTCGAAACTATTATATAATAAGGTTAAAAAAAATTTGACCTATATGTTTTCGAAAGGTTTTTCCTGCTCTTTTGAATGGTGTAATATTTATTTTAAAAAATTCAAAATTTAATCCTTTTTTGAAAAACACAAATATTTTTGTCTTTATCTTTTAAAAAAAATATTATTTATTCTTTATTATTTTGTCTTAAAATGAAACCTAAGATGTATGCTTTTAATAAAAAAAAAAAAAAATAAAAAAAATATTTCTTTTCATTTTTGAGATATTAATTACAGAATTAATATAACGAAAACAAAAAAATTTTTGATTTTCAAAAAAAGGGTTAAATTTTGAAATTGACATATATACCCAGGTGGAAAAGTTACCGGTAGTCACTACCGGGAACTTTTCCACCTGGGTAATAATTACGACTTTTCAAAAATCCACTGTTTACATTTTATTGAAAAGTTTAACTTGGTGGTTGAAGTCTTAGGGCTAAATTATGTGCAAGTTTCAGCCTAATTTGAAAATTTTTTTCAGTTTGATCACTTCAGCAATTTTGCCTCACATAAAGGTAAATTGTATTCTAAAAATTGGTCGAAATTTTCTTTTTTTAATTAAACACTTTCTACGCCAACAAAAACAAACAAAGTCCTTTTCTGTCATATAAGTTAATGATTTTTTTGGTAGAGAAGGGACAAGCATAATAAAAATTCGAATTTTATTTAATTTAATAAAACCATAAAAATAAAAAAATTCCCCTTTTCGTCTTAAATAAATATTTCTCTCAAATTAAAAAAAATCGTTTCAAAATTATATATTGAATACTTTCTAAACAATATAATTTCAAACTTTATAGGGCTTGTAAAAATATTCTGAATTCATAAACCAATAAACTATATGAAAAACAATAAATTGATGAATTTTAAAGAAGATGTACTAGAAAATATGAACAGTTTCTGGAAAAGGATTCTAAAATAGAACCCAATAAAATTACGGTAAAAATTTATACAAGATTCAGTCAACGCAGGGGCGTTACAATACTTATAAAGAGCAAGAAAATGTTTACTGAATAATTATAAGATTATAGCAAGATTTGCCATCTCTGTGTCATATGAACGGAATTTAGAACAGTAATGTATTCATTCTACAAGCAAAATGAATTAAATATAGTCACAAACGAAGAAATTATATCCGACAAGACATTTTATTCCTCGCGCTCTAAAGGTAATAAAACGCTTGTCATTATATGGAAAGCGTGTTAGTAGGGTACTAATAGTTCAAAGTATTTAAGCTCACCTTCACTTAAACTATTTATAAAATTACGTTCATTCAATAAATTTTTTTTTGTTTCTTATTCCCGCATGAGCTTGCTTTTGTAAAGAAGCAATTTTTATCAAATTATTTGACTAAATACGTTATTATTTTTAATATAAAATTAATAATAAGTAAAAGTTTTAGTGGGGTCACTATATAAATATAATTTTATTAAAATTTTTCAATATTTAAATTAAAAATAAAAATTAAAGGCAAAAGACAAAATAGTTTCTAATTATCGTGTCAAGTGAATTGAAATGTAATAAAATCCGGTTAAGAAACAAATTTTCAAAATGAGGATGAGGCAGTTATCTGCTGATACGGTACTGAACTCCCATCCGTTTCTTGCTTGGCCGACCTGCTACAGCCCATGATCAGCCTTTATAATAAATTCTTATTCAAGATACCAGATCCACGTATTTTAATACCCTCAGGTCGGATGCAAATGGACACCCTTATGTCCGGAAAAAATAAAAAAAGCAAAATAATCAACCGCAATATAAACAAGCAAAGATCAATTTTACTTATGAGAGTTAAATATTCATTTAATAAATCATTTCACA